GATATGTAAATACATAGGAATTAGGTGGTACGTATGTTAATTGCCACAATGCTTACGTTTTAGCAGCCCTTGACCAACAAAACAAACTGCTTTTTGTAGGCATGAAATGGCCTTAAAACTTAATTATCAAAAAAAAGTGATGGATTAGTGAAAGGCCAACCACAATTTAACGTATCCAAATGGAGCTAATACTCGCAATATGAGGTTGAATAAAGCTGGATCAAGACAAAAAAATTGGCTTTGTACCATTTAATTAAGATTTAAGATATTGAGACATAAGATGTCACAATTATCTTATGTTGTTAAATTAGTATTTATTTTATGTTAATTTTTTTTTAAATGTTTGATAATGTTTTACCAACATATTAATTTTTTTCTAATTACAGTGTTGAATGCCTCAAGTTTTTTTTCCTTTAAATTAAAAGGTGCAATAGAAATCCAAAATTGATTATTGATGATATGGAATTTATTAATCAAGTATCATAATTTAAGAACCAAATAGTCACCAAGTTCTATTAAAAAACAAGATATTTTCGTGATCTCAATATGGTAAGTTTAGACTTTATCTTTCATCACTTGTGAAAGGTGATATGTTAAATTTTTAGTCCTTGTGTTGGAACTTGATTTATTTGTCGATTCACACTGCACACAAAAAGTTGATCAAAGGGAATAAGAGCCAGATCAAAGGAAGGTTCTTATCTCTTATCAGAGAACAATGAGGGAAAAAGTGTCTTTTATATGGATCTACCTCTATTTATAGATGATCCTTTCATGCATTACAATATAACTACTCATTTCCCATAGATCCCAAAAAATATTTGACTTATCACTTCTTGTACTATGTTGGTTTTGAAATCTTAATTAATAGTATCCATAAGATCTTTCTATTTTAGTAGTTGTTTCCCATAATATTCATTAGATCACATCCTTCTCGGCTTACGTGGCATTTAAGGGAATTCGACATTGGTCAATTCAACTTTAAAGTGAGTTTTCCTCCTTGAATGGATCGATCTCTTGGACATTAAGGCGAATTTAGTCCCTTTGCTGAGTGGGTGA